CTGTCAGGTACGTTTGGCACAACAAGAATTGATGGATGGACCATGCTTTCTTGGAAACCTATGGAATCTTCTACTTTTCCACCTCCTTTAATACCAACGCCAAAAAAAGGCCATGGAAAAATGCATTTTTTTACTTTACAGCTCTGCTGCTCCATCCTCGCCTTTGTTAATGGGACTGAGACATTGTCAATTATCATTGCCGAAATTCCAACGCAAATCTGAATCAATTGCATATTTCAATTGCACCGCTTTTTCTCCTCCTTTGTTTGAAAAATAATAGTGTGTTTGGAATAGTTTAGAATCAATTACTTCATCCTTCCTCAAATCCTTAAAAAGCCTCTTAATTTTGGAACGATTTTAATTCCAATGCTCTTGTTTGTTAATTTATTATACGAATGTATATGAATTAATTTGTGTGTGTGTGTTTTTTTTTTGTCATACTTGACAATTGGATATATAATGAAGAATTGTCTTTCTTCCTTCAAATCCTTTTTCACTTATTTTAAAATTCCTAATATAAAAATTAAATGAAATTCCTTTAATTAGGCACATATGAATTATTATGTAGTCAAAAGAGTTCAATGACTTCCTAGTCTAGTGATAATTGGTTATTATGATGAAAATGGCGAAATTATCACAATTTCTTGTGTTAGTTTATCTATTAGTGTTAATTGGTTACTATCATCAAAATTCTGAAATATTATCATAATTTCTTGTCTTAGTTTATCTATATATTAGTTAATTTTCATATGTTATTCTTTCAATTTAGATTTCTAGATATTTTGAGTTAAATTTTTTAAATTAAAAATTTTAAATTGTAAATGTAAATAAGAGAAAGAGAAAGGGGAGTATTCAAATCTTAAAATTCCGACAAATTCATGAAAACCCAACTTGCAAAATTGAAAAGATAGATAAGATCGATGCGCAAGAAAGCTGATAATTTTTTGTCCATAAGGAGACCCCATTGAAATTAATTTTTTTACATAAAGGGGCAACCAAAAGTGAAGATATTTTTCATCACTAATCAAAAGAAACCACATGGGAATAGTAGTCTAGTGTGAGAGCAATCAATGACCAAACAAACAGGCATGATGACTAGTGGTGGGTATGTGCTCTGTTCTCTGCCCTTCCGACCTTTCCATTTCATTTTTTCTTTGCATATTATTATTTAGAAAAAGTGGTAAAGAAAAAAAGTGGGCTGGTCCAAACTCCAAACCCTAAAGCAAGCAACTTCTCTTTCTCTCTAGCCTTCCTACCCAACATCGACGTTGAAATGGAAAACGTGACTCGTGTTTCTTAATTTGACATTGGAGCACATCAAAACCACATCAGGAATTCATCCATTCATATATTTTTTTACTATTAATTAGAATCTAGCTGTTTAATTATTATAGTGATAGTTTTCTTCTTAAATTTAAAATTTTAATTTTAATAAGTATTAAACGAAATTTTGTTAATCCTAAATTCTATATATTTTCCTTCTGTCACCCTTTCACGTTCCTTTCAGCTTTGGCAGGATGTCTGGGGAAGGCCTGTGCCACACACACGCCGTGGAGCTTTTTCCTATATGTTGGACGTGAAAGCATTGTCGTTTTCCTCCACTTTGAATCTTCCTTTTTCTATGTACCGATTTTCCA